ATCCGAGAAAGTCAAATGCCAGGGTATTGAGTAACTCACTTTTGTAACTGACAGATAATTGATTGCTCATGTAATTTAAAGGTAGGATATTTGATTAAGGAGAATTTGATTATAAAGAAAAATAACAGTTCACTTGGGTGGTTCCATTGTTTTAGGGGATTTTTTTAGCACAGGTTTATTCTGGTAGATACAGGAACCCTTCTAAAATGACTAGGTTTTTAGAATCTTATTGGTGTTGCTACCAATTTTGAGATGGATAAAAGATACAAGTTGAGGCCAACCAGTGTGGCTCAGTGTTTGAGCATTGACCTATGAACCAGGAGCTCATAGTTCAATTCCAAGTCAGGGAACATGCCTGAGTTGTGGGCTTGATCCCCAGTAGGGGGAGAGCAGGAGGTAACGGATCAATGATTCTCATCATTGATGTTTCTCTCTCTTTCTTCCTCTCCCTTCCTCTTTGAAATCAATTATATTTTAAGAAGGTAAAGGTTGTTTCAGATTTTGAATTCAATGTTAGCTTTTTTTTTTTCTTAGGAAATGAGGCCCTTTTTTCGTTGGAAACTGCATCAGATTATGTGAAAGATGACAAAGCTTCTTTCTATGGTTTCAAATGTTTTGCAATTGGGTATGAATTTAGCCCTGGACCTGATGAGGTAAGAATGAATTATCTCATTTTGTTAAGGAAGATTGTGTTTCTGTGACTGCTATTGACTTAAGCGTATTTGCTGCCTATATTTAAAAAGCGTGAAGTGTATTTTAAGCTAGAGTATATATTAGTTTAAAATAGTTTGTAATTCTGTGCAGTAATCTGTTTTTGCTATTTTAATACATGAAGAGATTGGAGTCTGTGCAACATGACCCAGCCTTTGACAACTTAGTATAGTTGCACCTGTTCCAAACTAGCTCAAGTGTTTATACCTTTTTGAGTAAATAATTGAACTTTTTAGTAACTCTTCTAAATGTTTTAATTTATACAGTAAAATATCAGGGTGGAAAATGATTACGTTTCCTCAAAGAAAATGAAAAATTCTTTAGATGATGAACCTGTGGACCCAAACTTTATAATCAGCATAAGATATAATATTGAACCTCTTTCACTCTTAATTAAACCATTAGCTAGCTATGACATGCTTCCTTCCAGTTTCAAAAATTATGCTGAATGCACGTCACATTTGTTGATTATCCACATTATATTTCAAACATTTTTTAAAACAGCTGATACGTTTTTGCAATTCTACAGGGAGTCATTCAGTTGGAAAAGGAATTAGCCAATCTTGGTGGGGTTTGTGCAGCAGCTTTGATGAAAAAGGATCTAGCACTTCCTATTGGTAAGTCTAGTCAAATACCAGGTATCTGTTTATGATTTAAAAAAAAAATTTAGGAATAGAATATATATATTATTATAGAACATTTTAAATATTCTAGTGGACAATTGGAACTCATTGTCTGGAATTTGGGGAACAATCAATGCAAATGTCATTTAAACATAGTTGATACTTAAACACTTGGGGCCATAAGAAATACGATTAGGAAGAAAATGCATATGAGAAAGGCAAGAGCCCAGGATCAAAGCTGGGACTTGCCAAAACTTCAGAGGTAGACAGGATAGAAAGAAGAAACTGCAAAAAAGATTGGGAAGGAACAGTAGCCAATGTGAAAGGAGTAAAACCCAGAGAGTGGGATTTTCTAATGCTGCTGAGAAAATTTCAATCCTTGGGTTAATAAACTTGCTGTTTATATACTCGGTAAGAAATATATCATTAAGCCCTGACCTGGATGGCCTGTTGATGGCAGCAGTAGCCTGCTTTGCAGTCTCAGAGTATTGTATGAGATAATAGTTGCCGCTGAAGAGTTGCTGGTTTGATTCGAGATTAGGGCATATGCATGGTTGCAGGCTCAATCCAAGTAGGGGGCATGCAGGAAACAGCTGATTAATATTTCCCTCTTGCATCAGTGTTTTTCTCCCTCTCCCCCTTCCCCGTCCCCACTCTCCTCTCTAAAAATTAAAAAAACAAAACAAAACATTTTTTAAAGAAATGTATCACTCAAATGCGAAAGAGAGAGAGAAGCCCTTTTAAAGTTTAGTGAGAGAATAGAAAGTCAGGATGGGGAGTCAGGCTGAATATGGATAGCTCTTTGGAAGAGTTTTCATGTGAGCAGAACAGAGAAATGACGCCCTGGCAGAAATGGAACGTCTTTATAAGGTGCAAATTTATATGATATGTAAATTGACTTAAAATCAAGATGGCAAAGACAAAAATAAAGTTAAAAATACTTACTAATTCTATGATGATTATACATGGTGTAACATTTTATCTCTTAGTTTTTGGGGAATAAAAGGTATTACTTTTATTTGATTTCCCTAGTGCTCATCTCCAAAAGTTTATATGTATCTCTCCCATCAGGCACTACCCTCCCTATTTGATCCTTTCTTCCTTCCCTTCTCTTTCTCTACTTTTGTCTTCTCTATTTCCTTTCTCCTTCAGCTCCCTTTCACTCTTCTCAACTCCCTAGTTCCTACTTAATGGTGATATATATGAGAGGAAATGAGAAATCTTATATTCTAGTCATATGAGGAAAATTAGTACAATGTCTTTGGAGGCTATTTGTCAATAACTGTTCAAATTTTACATGCATATAGTTTTTGATGTAGCAAGTTTTTATATACTTTAACAAATGCTCAAAATATATGTTGTAAGATAGATTGATGTAACAGTACTGGTGATTATAATATGTCTAAGTAATCAAAATGCATATCATTGGAAACTAGTTAAATAAATAATGTTATATCCATGCATTGAAATGTATGCAGCTGTTCAACAACAACAACAACAACAGAAAAGCATATCCTGACCAAGAAATATGTCCAAATTATATTAACTGAGAAAAGCAAGTTGCAGAAAAGGGTCACATTTTTTGCCAATATTATCTTATATATGTTATTATATATAAGTAAACACACACACACACATATATATGTAAGAAATTTTGTTGCAAATAATAGATATATATTTGCAACAAAATCTCTAGATCAATACATAAGAAACTTGATACTATTTATTTGGGAGGGAGCCAGTAGCAGAATTATTCATTCTATACCTTAATATAATTTGAATATTTTCCTTTAAACATTTAGTAGTAGTAATATATACATTATACTATCAAAGAAAATTAAATAAATATGTTCTATATTAAGCAATAAAAGAGAAAATGACTAGAGGATGCAATCACTATCTCTGTTTTCCTGCACGTTTAGTAAACTATTGTTTACTAAAGATACTGCTCTTTTATAAGATATAGAACCAACCAAATAAAAATGCTCAGATTCTGAATAGTTTCCTTTTTTTTTGTAAAAAAGTAAGTACTCTAAATTACCAATTTATATGCATAAATAAAGCGCAAATCTTTTATACATCACTCAATGGATGCATTTTGAGTATTATTTTGAGAATTATAGGTTATATTCACACTGAAAATTTAAAATGTAAACCACCGAGACTTATCTAGAATGATAATAGTTCTTTTTATTCTGGAATCTTAGAATTGTGAACAAAGTATAAAGAATGCAAAAGACTGAAAAATTAAGTATTGATGTATTTTAGTAAAACTTTTTATTTACACAGCAGGTAATGAATTAGAGGAAGATCTTGAAATTCTTGAAGAGGCTGCATTACAGGTATTGCCCCAAACAATATATGGATAAATTTTGTACATTAATTTAAAACCAATATATTCACTTAGATCAACCCTATTTTTCTTGAAAATAGGGCTCATTCATTAAATACTTCGTGCTATTCATTGGCAGTTATAAAGATAAATAACTTAAACATTTTCCCCTTGATGGAAAAGACTCATGTGAGCCCTTGCTTTATTGAATGATGAGTGTTAATTCCACGAGACATAAATCCTTTGAGAGAAAGAAGCTCTCCCAAGTGCCAAAGTTTCAGAGAAGGCATTGCAGAGCTGTGGGCATGTACAGGTGGTCCTGAAAGTTTTATTAACCAGTTAGAAAGGGGGAAAATGAGATGTTGGTAATTTAAATAATATCTGCAGGACACTCTGAAGTTTACAGTATCTTTATTATCTATCTTTACAGTTATACTTTGAGGTTAGTATTATCTTATATTTTACAATTACAAGTTACTAATAACTGAAGTTCAGAAAGTTATACGACTTGTCTAAGAATTCAGCTAATTGGGAAAAAGAGCCTAGCATTTAGGTCTTCTAATACCTACAACTAGTGGTTATGTTGTATTTCCTGAGATAAATTTATCACAGCAGTAATAATAAAAACATTTATTTGATCTTAATTTTATCAAGTGCTATTTCAAATATTTTGCATATTTTTAACTCATTTAGCCTCCAACAACCATATGAATTACTCTTACCTCCATTTACAGAGAAGGAAACTGAAGCAAGGAAAACTTAAGTAACTTGCTTAGATATCACACAGCTAATAAGCAACTGGGCTAGAATTTGACTTCTGGCAGTTTGGTGATAAAGTGTATAACCTTGATCACTATGTTTTAATCACAGAGAGTCATGGTGTCCTCATAATGTTAAAAAAATAGCTTTTGTTTTTTTAAAGAAGTTAAATCTTTTTCTATTAATATACAAAAATAAAAATTAATTTAATAAACACAATATTCTAGTTAAGGAGACCCATCAAAGAGTTCATATATTATTCATCATTATAGGGGTTATTATGGTTTATAAAATGTCATTTAGGCCAGATATAAATAGATCTTTATTGTGCTGTGGTTAAACAACAACAACAAAATATCCAAAATTGCCCGCCTTTTAGGCATGTAAGTAGTTGTGGTGGTGGTCTAACATACAATATTAAACAACTCCTACTTCTTAGGCAAAGCAGTGTAAATTTTATTTAATTTAACTTTTATAATAACCACAAAAAAGAGATATTACTTGGTCACCAATTTATTTTATTTTATTTTTTATTTTTTTCTGCAATAAATCATTATTTTTTATTTATTTAAAAAAAAAACAAATCAGTGAAGGTAAGGACAAAAACCTTTGGTTCACTTATGTATCTGTGAGTGGAAAAAATTTATAATACAAATTCGCTCATTAAAAAACTTAGTTACAAATTACAACATTACAGATAGATAACCCTTTTTTGTTTGTTTTGTTTCACATGGAAACCTTAGAGACTCGAATCATTTCAAGAGACCTAAGTACTAGTACTCCAAGAAAATATCACACAAATTGGAAGCATCTTGGATTTTTAAGAAGTATATTTCAATAATTAATTTGTATGCATGCTTTAAACAAATAGTTATAGTTCAAGAATGAGTCTAAACAAAAGGTATGACCAGCACCCAGCATTTAAGTTTCTGATTTTAATATTAGTCTGACATAACATTAGTAACCCTGCACTGAAACAATGGTACAATCTGAATCATGATTTGTTAAATATTATATCCCAGAACCCCAGAACATTTAAGCTGGTCAAAGAGTTAACATTGTGTAAGTATATAAGCATAAATAGTTATGGACAGCCTCTTGTATAAATTGCTGTTTAGCAATACACAAACTGCCTCAAAGATTTATGCTTACAAGGTAGACATTCAATTATATCAATAAAACAGCATGTCCTGAAAATATGGGCACATTTTAAGACAGTTTTGTTAACCATTAATTAGTCCCACAGTATGACTGAATAATAAGAATTTACTTTAAATGCAAAAAATTTTAATCAGTATAGTGCATGATTGATTCAACATAGTTCCCAGGGAACAGACCAGTCACTCGATTGCAGACTCTTTCATACCAGCCATCGTCATTCTTTATTACATAAATGATTGCACCCTCCATAAGTGACAGCTCATCATCCTTGTCTTTTGTATAATCATATATTGCCACAATTTTCTCAATATAATTCTTAGGGGCCCAAGCAGGATCCCCATCTGCATATGGGTCATTATACTGAACTACTGCAGCCTCCTCATCTTCATAATTCACTGGAGGTGGTGATGGCGGAGGTGGAGAGTCATCAAACATAGGAATGTCATCTGGTGGAGGTTGTGGTGGAGGAGTTGGACTATCAGCAACTGATCCAATAGTGGGTGGTGAAGGTGTAAGCACAGCAATGGGAATGCCAGTACTGCTGCTTTCACTGTTTTCTCGACTTCCACTCCCCCCACTACTTCCACTGTGTGTCCTCGGTCTCTGGTTTAAAGAAGCTGTTCTGCCTGGGCTATGCTGACTTCCAAGCCTAACAGGACTGGTCATGTAGTCATTAGGAACTGTTGGAGGTTTAACAGGTTCCAGGGTTTTGTAAGGAGTATTCCGTCCCAACGTTCCCCTGCCTGACATGGGAGGACTTGGTGGTTTCTGAGTAGGAGGATTTGTTCTCGACAGTGTGCCAGTTCTTGCAGGCTGGTTATTTCCATGCTTGACACCATGGCCCACATCATCCAGAACTGTATAGCCAATAAGTTTCGGAATATACCTTACAGGGCGCTCCATATTTGCAGGTGCTATTATTTTGTGAGTTCTTGATGTATTCTTATTTGTTGTCAAAATACCAATCTCTCTTCGAGCCACTTTCTCTTTATGAATGTCCACCGTCTGTGAGATATGATTGATGGAAGACTCCATTCTCCGAAGCTGAGAGGCTTGGATGTCCAGCAATTGGAGTACATTGTTGGCCAATGCATTTATTTGATAAGCAACACTAGCTAGGGATTGGGTTGTATAGGCTTTGGTCTCTTCTAATGCTTTTCTCTTGTCTGTAGCCTGTATGTAGTTGTTCTCACAGTAGTCCGCCACTCAGGTCAGGTTCTGGTAGCTCTCGATCAGCGCCCTCTTGCCAGACGGAATTTCCTCCTCTAATAACATCTGCAGCTCTGCCATTTTCCTCCCCTCCGCATCACTTCCTCTTACGTTCTGCTCACCAATTTATAAATTATACAAATTTAGGAAGGTCTGTAACTTGTTAACTCATAAGCACACAGCTATAACTTGTCCAAAGCCAGGATTCAAACTCAAATCTGTTTTATTTCAAAGATTATGATTTTTGAAATTGCTATAGCTTTTAGAATGCAAAAGTTAACATTGTATAAATTTGATAGTACTGGAAGTATAATGCTTTTCTATGAAAAATATTTTGTTTTGAAAATTATAGTATAGTCATTAAAAAGTTTCTATCGTTTTCAGCATTGAAAGCAGGTCTTTCCAAAACATAGGCTTGCTTGTCAGATAGATGAGAACTAAAATTTCAGTTTTATCTGCCTCTTTTTCTTCACATCAGACAGACTAATGCAATTTATGTGCAACCACCACCAAGTTTCCATTCACTTTTTGTGCAAGTCTAGACCATGGTACCCACTCACCCAAGAAAGTAGATACAACCTACACATGATAGCTGCCAATAATGGGGAGACAAAAAGAAACTTCCACAGCTGCCTACATGAGGGAGCCATGTCCCTGACAAATGGGATGTAACATGTAGAGGGCTAGAATGGAAGGAGGAAATAACACTATTTCAACTGATATGCAAAGCTCTTAAGTCACTTTTTTGAGGAAGGAGATTGAAAGTATTTTTTCATATTTTTTCCTCCTGGAAGAAGTCTACTTTATAGACTAAAGGAATATGGGAGGAAATGATTTCCTTAAAAAGGCCTAGCAAGTACAAAAATTCAGGTATTTAAAGTTTTGTATTTTAAAATAAATGTTCTCTTTTACCCAACAGGTGTGCAAAACCCATTCTGGCATTCTTGGAAAGGGGTTAGCTCTTTCTCATTCACCAACTATATTAGAGGCACTTGAAGGAAATTTGCCACTACAAATCCAAAGCAATGAACAGTCCTTCCTGGATGATTTTATTGCTTGTGTTCCAGGCTCAAGTGGTGGAAGGCTTGCAAGGTATTGCACTTTAAGTACTATGATTACTACTTTCTTTCAGAGCTTGCCTCAGTTTACATTTCTGCAAAGAAATGAAAGGGGAATCATTAGGATGTATAAATGCTGCCTAAAATAGTCATACTTTTGTTTTTTGAACCTGTTGAAACATAAAATGGTAGTTAATATTTCAAAATATTTTAAAAATATATGATAGTTCTTAATTATCTTAAAGTTTCATATATGAACTTTTATTTTAAAAATATGTGGTGTAATTGAGAAGTATTGTGTTTTGGATAGTGACATTTAATAATTCACTAAACTAACTTTATTGCTATATTTTATTTTAATGAGTTTTTTCAAATCTATACCTAATAGAATTATAAATTTATAATTAAAACCAAATAATTTGAGATTGTAGAGTTCTCATTTGTTTTTTAAACTAAAGAAAAAATATATTGCAATGTGGAAACCTAACTTAATTCTGGTTTTAACTTTTGTGAGGAAGCATGGGGCTTGGTTGGAAAGTCTGTAAGGAGGAATCTCCAAAAGGCCGAGAGCCTCTAGGAGACCTTGTGGAAGGCAGCAGGGCCTGCCTTGACTTTTCCAAACAATTCTGAGCCCCTGGGTGTTTTACTGGAATCTTTATGTTTCATTTTTAGATGTCCTTGCTTAAAGGACACTGTAGATTTATGCGTTTTCTCAAGGATACTTACCCTGCTATTAACTAGAAGTTAATTTTAGTTCAAGCTGTTACAATAAAAGCCTAAGGAGGCAAGGGAATGGGGGCTCTTTGGTTTCTCAAGCCAAGCAGTCCCTTAGCTCTCTCTTTCACAGAAACATGTGTCAGAGTAATCATTCATCCCTTGCTCAGGGTCTATGGGTCCTGGCAGTCCCCATGGAATTGGGCATTGGCAGGTTTCCCAGGATATTTTGGGACTTCTGTACTTGATAAGGCCAGGAGGGCAATTAACAGCAGGTTAATCACAGTCTAAGATGCCCACGCTACTTACTTACTTGGTCATTATTTAATGAAGTCAATAAATAACTTTTGGATGGAATTTTAATCCCTGTGAGGCACCTACGATTTTAAGGTGACAATAGGCAATTAACAAGGCAACAGGTGACAAATGACAATGACCTTACAAGGAGGAGAAAGTCCTCTATCCAACAGCTTATTTGAAAAATTTTTGATAGAGAAATGATAGATTTGCAGTGCAGGTCACACTATAAAGTGACTGTAAATCCCCTGGGGACCCTGTTTAAATGCAGATTCTGACTCAGCGTGTCTGCGGCAGGTCTGACATGCTGCATTTTCAACAGGATCCCAAGTGATGCTGCTACTAGCGGTCCCTGGCCTCTGCTGGCTTAATTTCAGATTAACCATTGAAGATATTGATGAATGTTTTTTGTTTATTTGATTGTTTTTTCATTACTGCTAGGTGGCTTCAGCCAGATTCCTATGCTGATCCTCAGAAAACATCTTTGATCTTGAATAAGGATGATATTCGTTGTGGTTGGCCTACCACCATAACTGTTCAAACAAAAGACCAATATGGGGATGTGGTGCATGTTCCCAATATGAAGGTAATTATATCAAAATTAAACTAGGGGACATTTATGTACTGATTGTGACTAGTAACTTAGGAGGTTTCTAAATAAAATTTTAGAAATGTTAAGTGTCTAGAAGCCATTTGCCAGACCTTCTTTACATATATGTAATGGAGGAAGCAAAAAAAAAAAAAAAATGTTTAAATTATGTTTATATTACTAGCATCTGATTTTCCAAGTTATATGTTTTTTACATTTTGTTGGGTGCTATTGTAATGCAAAGGAAGGATTAAAGAAGTGTCCATTAATAAAGAGCTCCAAGCACATAGCAGCAAGGTCCTCAATACATAGTGATTTAATTAATAAAAGAAGACATTATAAAATTTTGTGTTTTTTTTTTAAACTCAAATACATTCGGCATCTGTGCTACTGAATAACATTGAAAATATAATAGTGATACTTATTAAATAAACTAGAGGCCTGTTGCACGATATTCGTGCAAGAATAGGCCTTCCTTCTCCTGGCTTTGCTGCTGGCTGCCCAGGAGCTGGCAAGTCCTCGCTCCAGGGCCGCATAAGAGTCACCAAGTCCTCGCTCCCAGCCAGAACACTGCTCCTGTAGCTCCTTCTGCCTCTCTCACTCCCCCTCATAGCAGGCATAGCGCCCGCCAGTCACTCCATGCCTGCACATGCAAATTAACCGGCCATCTTTGTTGGATTAATTTGCATACTCCTGATTGGCTGTGGATGTAGCGAAGGTATGGTCAATTTACATGTTTGTCTATTACTAGGTAAGATTAGAAATTAATGAATTTGGATTGTAAAAGAATGAAGAATGGCCAAAACCAGTTTGGCTCAGTGAAGAGAGCATTGGCCTGCAGACTGAAGGGTCCCAGGTTCGATTTTGGTCAAGGGCATGTGCCTTGGTTGCAGGCACATCCCCAGTAGGGGGTATGCAGGAGGCAGCTGATAGATGTTTCTAGCTCTTCCTCTCTCTTCCTCTCTATAGAGAATTAATAAAATATATATATATATATTTAAATAATGAGGCGAAACCGGTTTGGCTCAGTGGATAGAGCACCAGCCTGCAGACTGAAAAGTCCCGGGTTCAATTCAGGTCAAGGGCATGTACCTTGGTTGCAGGCACATACCCTGTAGGGGTGTGCAAGAGGCAGCTGATCAATGATTCTCTCTCATCGATGTTTCTAACTCTCTATCCCTCTCTCTTCCTCTCTGTAAAAAATTAATAAAATATATTAAAAAATAATGAAGAATGTAAATAATCATGTGGTGTATTGATGAATATGGTTTTTTGGATACCTTTTCCCTAATACATTAATTGAGACATAAATGTATAAAGTTAAGTCCTTTGTGATATAACCTATTAATGTAGATAATATATCATTTTAAACATTTATTATATTTCTGAGAAAAATCAATATTGAATGAAAATTTGTATAGGCAAACCCCAGCTACCCTCACACTTTACTCAAAGTTACTATATTACAAAGTGATTTGATTATTTGGAGTTTAGCGTTTATTAGTTCACAAAATCCCTTTTAGTTTTACCTCAACATTACTTTTAGTATAACTATTACAGCTACTTGATATATTCTTTGATTTATATCACAAAGAAGTACAATGCCAGTGGAACCTTTTACCTGACTCATAGTAAAAAAGAGAAGAGCCATATGGTTCACATGTATGATATGAAGACCAGTAAATAAAACTCTATGGAAAAGTATTTAAACTGATACCAAACAAAAATCAGGTTTTGACAATGACCCACACCATAAGGATTTGTACCAGGTCCCAAACATACATATATAGGATGGAATATTATATGCTCTTACTTATATACAACATATATAATACATATTTATACAATATGTTGCACTATGCTTATTTTCAATTTAGTTATTGTGTGAAAGGTAATGCCCCATCAAAATATTATAAATAGCTTCTTTTCATTTGTCACAGACTATATAATATTTGTGTATGTTTTTTTATAATATCATGGTTAGGTGGAAGTGAAAGCTGTTCCTGTTTCTCAGAAGAAAACATCTTTACAACAAGAGCAAGTAAAGAAACCTCAAAGGATTCCTGGCAGTCCTGCCATAACAGCTGTGCCTTCTAATACTGACAAAACTTTTGGTGGATTGGCATCACCAAAGCTAGATGTTTCATATGAACCAATGATAGTGAAGGAGGCCCGATATATCGCCATCACAATGATGAAGGTAATTTATTTTACTTACTAGAAAAATTTTATTTCTTACCAATTATTCACTTAGTAAACATCAGTCATTCAAATTCAGACAGAAAATTATAGGACTATAGAGCTGTTGGTAGTTGTAAACTTGTAACATATTGTTTCGGATGGTGTTATTTTTCTTCAAAGAGGGTTTTCATTTGTTTTTGGAAGACATGTAGAAGGGATTGCCAATAATAGATCAAGTTGATTCAGTCAGAGATTGAAATT